CCCCAAAACCCCAAAACCCCAAAACCCCTGATATCATATTGAACATAGATTTGATGAACAGATTTAATAGCACTATAAAATATAATCGAATATAATATCAACAAATCATAATCAAATACTCGAATGGTTAGTCTTGTGATCTTTTTCATTTACTTTATCCAAAACATTTCAAAAAAGCATTAAGGAAAGTAAAAAATACTATGCAGAGTGCACCAAGTATATCAGTGAAAACAACTGGTTCACCAAATATTGCAACATCAGCTAAAAATGCATTCACTACAACTAAATAATTGACTGATGCACTTCTTCCGCCCTTCTCAATTTAGAGAGCCATGCTCATACACTCTTGCTAAAGCCAACTGCATAGCCCACATAATGAAGTTAAGAGTATGTCCTTAATTCCTAGAGGTGCAATTGTATAAGAAGTAAAAGATAGTGCTATAAACCCCCCGAAAGCTGTAACTACGGCAAAGAAAAATGAGTGTACTGATACATGTAATTCTTTACCTATTTTTCTGCAAACAATATAAACCATAGTTCCTGATATTGCACCAAATAAACTGAGAAATATTCCTACAAAGTATTGAGTCATATCTTTTGGGCCAAATTCTTCTGAAGTTTGATTTTCTTATACAAGCGAAGGAAATATCAATTGGGGTTAAGTAAGTAAGACAACTCCAAACATAGCAGAGAAGACACTTATTATTTCAAGCTTAGCTAATTTCTCGCCTAAAAATATGTAGCAAGCAATCGCTACAAATATAGGCTGTGTATAGTATACAGTAATACATTAAGATAGTGGTAGATAGTCTAGTGCAGCATACAGACTGATTGTAGATAACAATCCGAATAATCCTCTAGTTACGATTAACCACCACAATTTTTGAGGAATTCCAATAATACTGAGCTTATCCTTTTTTAGATGGATGTATGATCCTCCCGCTAGAAACAAACTTCTCATTATGACAGCCTGAATGGCATTGACTTTAGTATTTTTAGCCTAATATTTGATTATCAAGTTCATGCATGTGGTCATTAAAGCTGAGATTACCATAAAGAAAAACCCCTTTGCTCTTGCCAGATCAAATTTCTATTTGTTTTCGTTTTGATTTTACTGAATAATAGAGTTCTACTGAGTAAAGAGGTTTTCCTCCATTTATTTAGGAGCATGATCAGTATCTGAGAAATCTCCAAGTGTGGTAAGTTCTATCTCTCTTGAAGAATCCAAGCAAATTGATTGATAAGGTGAATTTGGGATATGAAATCTCGAATCATCTAGACTTTCTTTTTTGGACATTATCGATACAGAAATTATTTAAATTACTAAAATTGATATTTTATAAAATTTGATATTACACACGTAATAATACTTGATGGGGTTTTGGGGTTTTGGGG